GACCTCTCAGGTTTAAGCGATTCTCCTGCCTCAGCCTCCTGAGTAGCTGGGACTACAGGCATGTGCCACCATGCTGGCTAATTTTTGTATTTTTAGTAGAGATGGGGTTTCATCATATTGGCCAGGTTGTTCTCAAACTCCTGGCCTCAAGTGATCTGCCCGCCTTGGCTTCCCAGAGTGCTGGGATTACAGGCGTGAGCCACTGCGCCCGGCCCCAATTACAACTTTTAAATGGAGGACCTTTAATGCTTGAAAGCTAGTATGGACTGACTTATGTACCCTTAAAATTCGCATTTGGAAGTCCTAATCCCCAATGTGACCATATTTGGAGACAGGGCCTTTAAGGAGGTAAATAAGGTTAAAAGAGTCATAAGGGTGGGACCCTAATCCAATAGGACTAATGTCCTTGTAAGAAGAGGGAGAGACATCAGGAGTGTGCACACAGAGGAAGGGGCACGAGCAGATACAGTGAGAAGGTAGCCATCTGCATGCCAATGTGAGAGGCCTCAACAGAAACAGACACTTCTAGCACCTTGACCTTGAACTTACAGCTTCTAGAACCATCAGAAGATAAATTGCTGTTGTTTAAGCCACCCAGTCGGTGGTATTTTGTTATGGCAGCCCAAGCAGACTAAAGACAACAGCTAAAAACTATTTTAAAAAATAAGACAGTAAAATTCATTTTATGATCTTTTTGAATAGTGAATGAACGACTAGAATAAATCCTGTCAAAATAAATATATGAAAATCTGACCATGCTATGGTGCTCATGCGCAAATCCTGTTCTCCCCCGAGGAAAGTCTTTGCTTTTACGGGCATCCATGTGTCTCTTCTACTTCACTTTGTTGAACTCTAATTTCAGTTACACTATAGATCCAAGAGGCTGGGTGCAATACCTGTTTTTCATCATTGAATCACCTTATAGTACTGGGTCCTCAATTATCACTGTTAAAGACTTTGGAGGCACTTTATTTAGATATAGCTCTGTATAAAACACATGGTTGTATTTCTTTAATCTTAGATGAAGCAGGTATACGCAATTCCTTCCTGCAATATTCTGTCAGATTTCAATCATATCTGACATGACTTGGATTTGACTGAACTTAGATCTCTGGACCTCTCACTTTCATTATCTAGATTTATTTCCACATTTTTTCAGGATTTTCTCCTCACCCCTACATACCTACTTAATGTCCTGGCAATGCTGAACTATTTATTATTCCCCAAATATAGCCTGCTTTCTTTTACTTTGCAGGATTTTAATATAGTCTTTATATAACAAAGAAATATTTGGATCAATTTTCCAGTTCATTGTGTTTTTGGAAGATTGAAAACCACTTTCACTTAAACGATGCTTTGCTTTAAAAAAATATTTATTATGATTTTTTTCAAACATATACAGAAGTAGAGAAACTATCACAACAAATTTCCATATACCTATCACCAAAATTTCACATTTCCGTAAACTTGGCAGATAAATTTTTTACTAAATGAATTTACCTGAATATTTTTACATAATGAAGACTTTATGTTTAAACTTTTATGTTTATATTGTAGCAAACAGTAATATAGGTCTGATTATATTTCCTTATGAATTCAGACAAATAACAAATCATTTGTACCTATGAATGAAGTTACTTGTAGTCTTCGTCTATCTTCGGTACTGCTATTTCAAAAATTGGCCATGATGACTTTAGTATGACTTTACTGACTCTTTTACTCATCTTGAAATATAGTCATCACTGGCTTCTTCAAGAATACTTTTTACTTTTATTATTATTATTATTATTATACTTTAAGTTCTAGGGTACATGTGCATAACGTGCAGGTTTGTTACATATGTATACTTGTGCCATGTTGC